TTTTTTTATTGCTTATCACAGTAATCATCATGAAAATCATCAATCTCATTTTAAAATACGAATTTTGATTCACTGAAAAAAATTTTGCAAAACATTATTTTTTAATGAGAAAGCAAATTTAAAATTAAAATTAAGGAAAATTCTTAAAATCGTTTAGAAATTTAATTTCATTTATTAGAAGTATTTATAGCGTTCTAAGTGTATATAATTCGAATCAAATACGAAACATTCTTATGGAAAATATTTTTTGATAAACCGAAATGAATATTTTTTAAAATTTAAAATTCTTTAAAATTTTAAAATTTTTTTTTTAAAATTTTTATTTTTATTTTTATTATTAAATTATATTATATAAATTATATTATATTACAAATAAATAAATAAATTATATATTAAAAATTATATTATATTATATATCAAATTGTATTATTTGTATTATAATTGTACTATTTTTAAATTGAAAAATGGAAACAAAATCGCTAAAATTTTATAAAACGCTAATCGGTAATGCAGTAAATAGTTTCTTCATATCCATATTTTTTATATTTCTGTTTTTTACTTATGGAATTCATTGAAAAGGAAGTGAGGAAGATTATACAAATTGACTTATATTGTTCAATTTCTAGTTTTATGCAATAAGAATTTTTTCAAAAAACGTTAAAAATTCAACTTTAAGGAGGAAAATAAAGAAGGAATAAAGGAGAAAATTTAGTGCATTTAATAGCCAATGACTTTAAGGGTCCTTGAACTGGTCATTTTAAAAATGTTTCGTTGTCTGCCTGATTCCTATAAATCGGACCTCATTTGAATTTCTTTGACCTCTAAACCTCATTCATAGAATTTACATCGATACGTGATGGTTAGTTGATTTGTATGTTTGTATTTCACAGTCGGTCATTTATTTTAAAATTGTTCACATTCACCAAAATAAACTTCTTATCGCATTTGCTAGAAATTCTTTTCAATTTTTACCATATTTTCTTTCCTTTTCTTTCTCTTTTATAATATAAGAATAAATAAAATTAAATATTTTCTTCTTCTTTATGCAAATCTATCTTATTTGATTACTAAATAAATCCTTTTTACGAAAAATTTTTAGACGAAAATATATTTTCGTTTTTAAAAGAATAAAGAGAGATTAATTCTTGAATGATAATGACGATGATTATCCATGATTGACTGCTTTCATCCTTAATCATTAATTTTCGCTATAGTAACTCCTCCAATATTTTTCTTTTTTTTCAAATATATTTCTATTTGTTATTAATTAGCGTAGAAAATTTGTTCCATTCGTTATCTTCTTTTTTTTTTTAGCGAAATAGCGAGAGAATTGGAAAATTAAAAGTGGTTTAACGGATATCACTCGAAATGAAAGAGATAAATTCACTTACTTATATTAATATACTTAAAGCTTAAAAGTAATTAATTACGATGAAATTTCGTTAAATTATTTATTCTATCATTTTTTCACATTTCGGCTTCACTTATATTTATACATTACTGTTAACTTATCATAAAATATCAGATATCTTTAGATTATATTGCCTTAATCAGTCTTCAAAATATATTTTCTAAAAGAGTGCATATTTTTGGTCATATATTTTTGCCGAAATGGACCAATTTTACCAGGGAAAAATCTTGTCGATACAACTGCAGATGAATTGACAGCATCACTCGAATTATTGTAAAATAGTGTTGTCGCTGCCGGAAATCGAAATTCCAGCATCAACATTTCGATAAAAAAAGCAGTAACTCAGCGAGCCATTCATCTAATAACATTGTAAATTAAATTATAAATTTAAAATATGTTTTAAAAGATTTGAAATATTTGATGATCAATCGATGAGATTTCACAAAATCGATTTTAATGAAACAGTGCTAATTTATAATTTTTTAAAATTTTATTTAATTAACTAAATTCCTTTTTCTTTCCTAAAATATTTAATATTTATATATTTAAAATTCAGATTTGCTATTTTATAATTTCAATTATAAAAAATCCAATCGTCTTTTGCATTACATTTTTTCGAAATTTAAAATTTTTTTAAAAGTACTTTTGAAAATACCGAAATTCTAAAAAAAAAATGATCGGAAAATAATTTTAGAAAACTCTTTTTATTTATACTTTTTTGGCTTTTAGATTTCTTAGAAAAATTTTTCGTTTTTTCAAAAAATTTTATGAAATCTTTTGTCATTTTTTTTGACTTATCAATAAATTAAATATTTTTGACAGTAGAAACCCAAATTAGGATAAGATTTTTTTCGCTGATAATTAGCCATTGTTTTTTTTGTTTATTATTTTTTTCAGTATTCTTCGATATGTTTCCCATTAAGAATTGTAAATTATTGACTCTCATTCGACCTTTTTGACCCTTTAATTTATTTATTTCGTTTATTTTACGTAACGGAAAGGAAACTTTAGAAAAGATTTTGCTTTTCACTTATTTCATCTTCTGTTTTTTATATTATTATTATATTTTTATAAAATTCAACAGTTAATTTTAGAAGTGGCAAGAATGAGCCACCAGAAAGTCTAAGGATGATGGCTTATAAAGCTTATTTCTAAAATTTTTTTGGTCTGACCGCAAATTCTTTAAGAAATTAAAGCAAATTTGAAAATTATTAATATTATAAAATTTTTAAATTCTTTTGTCATTAATGCTCAATTTAGCATTTTTTTCTTGATTGTGTTTTCCTCTCTTGGCCCATCCTCATCCTTATGTCTATCCTTTACTTCCTCTTCTTCTATTAGCTCATCCAATTCCTGCTTTGGCTCGTTCTACTAGCGTACTTATCTTTTGCTTACTAAAATACCAAATATTAAATTGCCAAATACCAAATTTTGAATCTACTTTGATGTTAAAACTACATATGTTATTCATTAATATATATTATTATTCAAATATTGAATATTCATCATTAATTTTAATATTAAATATTCATTAATATGAAAAGAAATATGGAATTTCATTAAATAGCGCAGAAAAAATTTTTTTTGATTTTTTTTATAAAATTCCTTTATTTTCTTTTTTTTTGTTTTGCTGCCTTGTCTCGCTTCGCTAGCGTCTAACGTACTTATCCTTTACTTACTAAAATGTCAAATATCAAATTATCAAATACCAATTGAAATACTTTGATCAAACTATATATATTATTCATAGTTTATTAAAGCTATATGTTTTGTAAAATCGTCCATACATATAATCTTGCATAATCATTAAAATTGATAGTGAATGATTCGCGTAGATGGATCGATGGATTTTTGGTGAATAATCGGGTATATTGAATATTTTTGTGGAGAAATATACCTTATGCATGTTGGCAGATTATCCAACAATTTTCCAAAATCATTTTAGTTTTTTTTCAAAATTTTACATTGACTTGGAAAATTTTAACAATATTTTCTATAAAATGCATATAATAATTTCTATATAAATTAAAAGTTTAAATTTTACTGGATATTACTGGATAATTTATTATAATTCCAATTTTCTATATTATTAATTATTTATTATTTTTTTTTAAAGTGTCCTCATCATTACTGGTTAAATTCGCTTCGTTGCCTTGTCGCATTGGACAAATATGTCTAGGAGTCCCTTGGCGACAGAAGTATAGGAGAGTTGCCAGCATCACCTGTATTCTTGGAAAGGTTTATTACTGCGGAGCAATAACCCACTGAGCCATTCTACGCCATTATTAATCTTTATTTTCTATGAAAATCTTTATTTTTTCATATCAAAAACCATTGAAATGCGAATTTTTCATTTATATTATTAACAGATAAAGTAAAGAAAAATTATATTTTTATTATTCTAGCTAATTTCTCAAAAAATAATTTCATTGGTTTTACCAAGCCTAAGTTTTTGGAATAGTACGATTGGATATGGCTAAATTATTATTTCGTGATTTGGCGTCTGGCACCTGGCATATATTTCAACCTATAATCATATAATTTTTTTAACGACAAAAATAAACCTATCATTAAAAAATCTGCTTGCTGTTATGGACTCATTTGTGCTTCTCTCTTTTAGCAATTCTCTGATAAAATCGTTTTACTAAATGGCCAATAGAATAAACCCAACCAGAACATTTAATTGCTTGATTGCTAAAATTTATGATATTGTTTTAAATTATATTTTCATCTTTATCTAAACCAAAATCAATAATTTTTATCGGATAATAATAAATAAATCAACATTCCGAAATTTCGATTTTCAAAGCAATTTCCACTACAAACAGTATTTTTATTGAATATCAACTATCGCTACGATGAAAATTTTTTATAATTTTGATTGCATTCGAAGATTTTGAAAATTCAACTAAAAAATAGAAAAAATGTCAAACTTTTATGCTCGAATTTTGTAATATGCAAATCTTATCTATAAATCGTATATAAAATTCTATTTAATTTCATAGTTTGTTTGCATTTATAACTGAAATTTTAAAATAGTCGAGCTTTTTTGCGTATCAAATTACAGAGCTGTATGTACAGTAAGAATTTGCATAAATGAAATAGGGTGATCATCATGGGTTACTGTCGAAACATGACAATAATTGAATGTGCCGGACAGTAACAATTTATTGTCGAATAGGAGGAGGTCATAGGCCGTTTTAGTTAAATTTCTGAAAGGAGGCGCAGTCATATTGCGGTGATTGACCCTCGCGGCGACAGTTGACCCGTGAATCGGGTAGTTGACCTTTAATAGTAAAACCTATATTTGACATTTCTCTTGAACTGCCTCCTGATGTTAATTATGTATTTCGTTTCGTGAAAATTTTGATGGATTTCTTAAAAATCTTTGCCTTATTTTCGTGATGATATTTGCTGACGAATTTTCCGTTAAATTCAAAATTTTATTTATTTATTTTATATGATTTGGTCGCGAAAAGGTCATCTGCCTTAAAGTTTACTTCATTTTAATGTAACTAAAAAAAAAATAAGGGGATATTGATTTGAATTTCTCGATCTGTGGTTCCATCACTTTTCTCTAATGAGTTCAATGAGTTCTTTCATGGTTCTTATAAATAAGAGGTTTGAATTATCATATCGTGTTATCGCTAAAAATCAGAAATATATATAAATATATAAATGTTCGATGATTTTTCGCGAGGTTTACTTATTTAAAAGAATTTAAACGATATAATTAGCTAATACTAGGAAATTAAAAAAATATATGATTGATCGCGGATAAATTTCAAAGTAAAAAAATTTTTTTTTTGATGGAATAAATGAGATTTATTTTAGACTCTCGGTGGCTTAACAACATCAACTTCAACTGGCGAATCATTGGCCTTAAATAATTCGTCACCAACTTATACTTCTGGATCACTTTTGAACGATAGTCTGCCATCAACGAGTACCCTCAGACCATATCAAAAGGTTCCATCTTCGCATTATATTTGCATAGAATCTTACTGTGCATATTTATAAAGCAGTGCGTCCATGAATTGTAAGCTATAGCTACGGAATCTTTGCATATATAATTTATTAAAATCATAAAAGAGGATTATGTTGGTACTTAAATTTAATCATGTAATGTATAATGAAAAAAAAAAGCTATTTGAAGAGAAAAGCTTTGGCAAGTTACAGATTTAAGAAAGGAGATTTAAAGTGCTCTTATCTTTTGTCTTATCTTGATAACTTCAAACATAACTTAAATTGTTTTTTTTTTATATTGCAGAACGATAGTAGTTCATTCAGCGCGTTTAGTGCACGATCTAATCTCAACAAATATCATCTTCAAGCAAATTTAAATCCGTCTCAACCACCAAATTTTCCGTCACTTCTAAATCCGGCTATGATGGCTGCACAAATTGGTTTATTAAATTCGCCTAATACGCTTATGGCTATGATGCAGGTTTCAAGAAAATTTAATTTTTGAAAATATCTAAGTATAGGCAAACTCAATTGGACAACTTGTTTGTAAATTACCTACATTTATCTGTAGGTAAAAGTATCGTGTTAATTACAGTGGATTTAGCATAGCCTACTTTGTCTCATTTTTAAACTTTCTATTAAAGAACCCAAATTTAAAAGATCAATAGATTATAAGATTATTATCAAATTTAATAAAATTATTAAGTATTTTAATCAATTAAAATGTTGGCCAATGTTTATTTATTTAAGCGATTTCTATGAACAATTGTTCATTAGAATTTTATTTAAAAAAAAAAAAAATTGATTTAAAATAAAATAAAATTACTCAAATTATTTCTTAGTTTTAAAAGTTATGCATTTCCAATTTTATTAATAAAGATTTTTTTAATTTAAATGTGGTTTATTAAAATAATTAATAAATATAATTTGAAGGCAGCTGTCGCACAAACTTCCGTTCTACCGAATCATAATATTTCTAATGGAAATGAGCAGACCATTCAAAGTATATTGCAACAAGTATCATCATTGCATAGTGGACAGGTATTTCCTTTTTTCTTCGCATTTTGACTTAGCTATTAATGGTGACCCTTCAAGAAGAAAGCATGATAGAGATATGGAAAAATTTGGGCTTCATCCATTTTCGTTAGAATGTACTAATGTTCAGTGAAAACTATTGTCGTATATGCGAAACCATAGCCCTCTTACCTTTTTCCTTTAAATTACAATTACTATGCGTGAAATTTCGATGAATGAAAACGAACAAATGCATTTGACATGTGAATATATTGACCTATCTTAGAGGAGAATTTTAAAGAAGAAACCAAATGATTTTTTTATTTCTTTGTCCTCAACATAATTTCTTGTTCTTTATTATTTGTTAAAATCTATCCACAACCAGGCGAACTTACTTGCTTCATTACCTGGTTTTTTATTTTTTCAGTTGCTAGGATTGCTTCATATTCTAATTTATTTCATGATTATCACATTATTGATAAGATTTTCATGATATATTTCCATAAAATTCTTGATTCATTTCGTGATGAATTTCAATAAAAAATTCTCGTTCTCATTAAAATAAACCTATTTTATGTTGAAATTATAATCATATTCAAGCATATTTGCCTATTTGATTTTTTAATCTTTTAATTAATCCCTATATATTTTTTATATTTCATAAATTTTAGTTCTTTACATCGACATTATTAAATATATATTAAAATGTAGCGTGACCCATATTTTTGACCTATCGTATACATATCATAATTGATATAATTTGTTCGTTGACTACTATTATATTATATTACCTCACCTGCCATTAAGTCATTCGTTCATTCATTTTTAGCCTAACATTTCATTTAGAAAAGATATCATGTATGATGAAGAAGAATCAGTCGTTTATTCAATGCAATTTAATAATTTATTCGTCAATTTTCTTTAAAATTTTGCGAATGCATTGATAAATTAATGCTAATGAAATAATTAATTGTCTCATATTCATGCATGCATGCACGTTTTCGCGTATGCATGAACGATGTTTCTTTTAACTGTTAAACGATAAGCAAAATTGTTTTTTATTCAAATTTTTCTCGTTCATTTTTTTTGTATAAATTGATTTAGTACTCCTTAATTTTTTATTTTTTATTTTTTATCTTCAATTAAAATTTTTATATTTTTCCTCTTTTTTTTATGAAGCATTTTTATATTTTATATTAAATATTTGAATTGAACGATCTATGAACGAAGAGAATAAATTAAGAATGCGAATATGGTTCATCGTCGATATTCTCAAATTAAAATATTATCAATAAAAACATAAGTGAATTTCACTAAATGAAAAAATATGAAATCAATTTTAATTAATTTAATTTAATTAATTTTAATTAATCAATAATTAATTTTTAAAAAATTTCCAGAATTTCACTATCTATAAGCGTCGATTTTTTTGATTGCTATACGATTTATTGGGTTTTATAATAGGGCTTAGCATTTATCAGCATTTAATAGCTTTAGGGAGATAAGATCATTGATAAATATATCACATTGAATAGGATCAAGTCATCATAAGTTTTATTACTTAATGGGAATAAACCTGTCGCTAAAAGTGAAATACCTGTCGCTTTGCCACTTAGCTTCTAATTTCTTAAGTGATTTTATAATTTTCTCATTTCAATCTAAGAAATTAAATATTTTTTTCTTTTTGTTCATCGAATTATTTGTAATGGAACGAAAAAATAGTTTTATTGGCGATATAAAAATTATTTATCGCATTGTATAACGTCGACTGAAATTATTTCCAGTATTTGTTTTTTTCTCCCATAATTTTTTTTCAATTTGAAAAAGATTTCACATTGAAATGACGAAAAATTTTTCTTAAAAAACAAAAAAAATAAGATTGAAATTAAATAATTTTGAAAAATTATAAACCTCTATTCAAATTTTTCATTTTCTTTCTCATTTCTTTTATTTCCTCACCATTTTGTAAATAAAATGTCACCTTTTGTCCTTTTTTTTCTCATTCTTTTCTGGTAGATGACCTTTTTCGAAGTATTTTAACATTTTCTATCGCCAAAATCGTCAGAGACTACGATGGTGTGACCTTAGTCAAATCAGTATAACCACTCGAGCAGCATGTTCTCAATTTGTCATATTATAAATATCACCTTCTTTCTTATTTTATTTAAGACCTTTTGAAGCCTTATAAAATTCTTTAACAAAAGATTATTGACTTGAAAAAGGATCAATTGCTGTTCTTAATTTTCTTCTCTATTGTTATTTTTATTATTATGTTATCACCATAAAAATCTTTCTATTTTTAATTCGTTTGTATTGATAAAGTTTGTCTTTTTGATAAGATTATCATTTCACATTTTTTTGGGACATTTTAATGCCAACCATAAATTTCTATAATTTCTTTGCAATTTTCTCATACGATATCTTTTTTAGACAACAAACGTGAATAATTGAAATGTAAAGAATTTAAATTTAATTAATATGGCCTGACCTTTAAATGACCTTGGAATGATATATCAGTATTCAATTAATAAAAATTGATGAAATCTTATCACCAATAATCTTAAATTATATTTCAAAAAAAATTTCTCATCATTGATTTATGTTTTATGGCTTTTTTTTAAATTTCACACACTTCATGCAGTGATCGCATCATATCATTTGGCTGAATAACTTTAAACATGAGTATCGTAAATAATAAAGTATTTAGTGCTCATCATTTCTCGTTAGGAGCGCTCCACTGGTTTTTGTTAGAAATTTTTGTTAGCGAGTCGATGGCAATAGAAAGTTGTTCATTAGTACCACTCGGTTAATGTAAAGCAAGTCGTTCATCTTAATTAGGCAAAAATCCTTATCCTTCATTGTTCCTCCACTTGATTCCAAATCATTTCATAGCCTCGCAAGAAAAAAGGAATTAAAAAAATCTCTTTATTTTTCTCATCTTTGCATTCTAAGTCACTGTCTCTGACCAAGCCAAAAGGCTAGCGATTGAATATAGAAGAGGGTTGGGTTCTGATTACATATATTTCTCTTTTCTTTAATGAATGAGATTCTTGAAGAATTCGTTCTTTTCAAGCAAAATTGATAAATTTTATTATTTTTTATAATTTTTTTTACAAAAAAAGAGATTAAATTTTAAAAAATCGAATAAATTTCCTTTTTTTTTGCGCAAAAATATATATAATTGTTGCAAATTTCTATGCAAAAAAATTTTTTTCGAGACATATCATCCATTACATATAATTTTCCTTATTTATTCAATAAATAAAGAAAATTTATTTCATTTTTTTTTACATTTTCCATATTTCATATGAATGTTTTATGCATAAAAATGCTATTTTTAAAAGGCGAATGCCAATTGCATAATAAATTTATTAACAAAATTTGAAAGCTTTTTGAATAAAAATGAACTCAAAGAAATAGTAAAAAAAAAAATTACATTTTAAAATACGATTTCACATCTTTATTTCATTCTTATTCTGTTCATTTCTTAGATTATTTGAATTTTTCGATCAGCGACGATTGACTAAAATTTTATAACCGATAAAAATAGATGGATAAATGTTGAGCTTTGAAGCTATTATCATTCTATGTTATTTAATATTTAAGGATTTAATACTTAGTACTTTTAATTTACTTGAATAATTTTAATACTCAGTTTAATACAGTGTTTATGATAATCGATGAGGAAAAAAAATGGAAAAGTGGAATTCGAAACGCATCAAAATAAATGATCTGGTTCTATTCCCCGCAGGAGTAAACCTGTCCAAAAATCCGGATGATGCCAGCGACTCACCTTTACTTCTATCACCAAAAGACTTCCTGGCATATTTGTCTAGTGCGACAAGCCAGCGGAACGAGTTTAACCAGTAATGGTGAGATGTCTTTAAAAAAGATGATTTGGTTAAGCTCATTTGCAGAAGCAAGTAGGGAAGGCATGGGAATAAAATTAATTAAATTCTCAATTTATTTGCTGTTATATGAATATAGGCAAATCCATAAAGAGCAAACTACTTCGTAAAATGTGGTTCATCTGATCATCACAATTACTAGCGTTGGCAAATATTTTGGTCGATATTGTAAAATATTGACATAAGAGTAAGAAAGAGTGAGTGACTCAGTGAGTTATTGCTTTCATTTTGGAGCGTCGATGCTAGGATTTCACTTCTGGCAGAGTAAACATTTTCCAAAAATCCGAGTGATGCTAGCGAATCTATATTCCTGGCTTCTATAATCAAATGGCTTTAGGTAAAATTTCTCTGGCTCAAGAAGCTAGCGGAGAGAGTTTAGCCAGAAATGATGGCTGTATTAGGAAAAAAGGAACACTCATAGAACATCGACAACACTAATTAAAAAATTAAGCAAGCAGACGACATTATTTGAATATATAGATGTGTATGCGTATGTATCTGTCGCACTGACCATTTCTGATTGAGCTCGTTCCAATAGCTGCTAAGCTTAAATTGAGATAATTTCGCTAGAGAATCAAGGAACATAGGTGAATCCTTAGTGAATCGGATTTCTTAACAGCATATTTATTTTGCCCATGGCAAACGATGTTGCTTCAAATGGCTAATT